TTAGTCGTATACAGTTTGTAGTAGGATTATGACTCCATGTTTACAAGTGTTGTAAAAATTATGGGTGAACGCACGTTGCATGTTTACTTTTAAAATTTCTCGTGTTACATTATTTAAATTCGAGATTCTATCTCGGGTCGATGATGGCAATTATATCGACGTCACCTTCGATTGCATTGCACTTTCACCCTTAAGGTAATAAATATTTAGCTAATAATAGCATTCCTACTCCAATCTGCATTCGGTCCAATGCAAATTATTTCTTTACTGATAATTGTACTATAAAACAGAGACATAATAACATGTTATGATTACAGCGTGTCACAGTCGACTATCCGTGTATTATTTAAATGTAGCGCTGTTTTGCAACAAAATAATTGTGTCATTAATTATGTTATTTTATTCATACACTCTATCCGACATCGTTATTATTGCTGATAGAGCATAAAAGTTTTCAGTTTGATATAACAAATTGTCCAGCTAGCCCTCTTTTAAGTGAAGAAGCGGCAAGCGAGCAGATGGTTCACCTGATGTTAAGTGATAATCACCCAAAATTGACATTAACAACAACATAGAGGTTGCAGAGGCGATTCATATCTTTCAAAGATTTGGTTGTCTCACTCACGAGGTGAAACGCAGAAATATATATTCCTAATCCTTCTACTTTACGCTGTACTTTTCAGAGGCAATATTACTTCTGCTGAATAACCTGCTCAAAATTTATATATTTTTGTAGTAAGATAATATTTAGAATTATGACTAATAGCTGAGCATAGAAGTAAAAAAGAGTAGAAGACTTTCGTCGTCTTTTTTTGTTCCATTCGCCTCAGTGACGGTTAACGAAAACCTTCTTTGTCTAGGGTTCATGTCTGTGCTTTTTCGTTTATCCTATAGGCATAGTTGGAAATATATAAATAAAAAGTAACATCAATAGTTTTTCACAATACGATAAACCTTCTTATATAATAGCAAATTATATTAAGTGCTTAAACTACGAGGCAGAAATAAAGACGTTGCACGTTACATTCGATAATTGAATATTCATGACTTAGCTGGTCTTCGTGAAGGCTTTAAGCAAACGGGCCTTATTTTTTTACAAAACAAATATAATGCCGGCTTTATCTTCCCCAGTCGCCTTACAGGTTCGCTCTGAGCTGGAACTCATCCATTAAAAGTTTAACTTCGGTGCGCCTCGATAGGTCACGCGGAACAAATCTAGACTTACGTATCGGAGAGTATTCAATGCATCCAAACAATAACGTATTAATGTTACGAAAATAGGCACCTATCGAGTTTATTAAATAAACATAACATTTATAGTTATAAGTAATGCTTAAGCCTAGCGAAATCCAGATAACTGCCCCGTAAAAATATTGATGCAATATTTTTCTGAGAGTCTGAAATTGTGGAATCTCAACTATGAGTTTTTAATAATTTAGTAATACAGTAACTAATAAGTTAATAAAAATGATATTTTGAAGCAAGAAAAAGAAGTTAGAACCCCTTGGTTAACACCTTAAATATGAGGTTTGTTCTTAGCTGTATTTGTTATTTCTTAAGTTTTATTGTCCGACAATTATATCAGTGGTTAAAAATAAATGAGGTCAGAATCTTCAGCTCTGGTGTAAATGACCGAGTTGTGGCGCCACTAACCCAGTAAAGTACATTGTTTACAAGGCCATGCGCTTACCGAGCGTATGAGAAATTATCTTCAATAAATATTTAATACTTATAGGTAGTAATACCATGCATAAAACACACTACTAAATGTTGTTTCTCTACAATAGAACGTAAACAAGAACGCTATACAAAGGTATTTTTCTAGAGAGCTGTTATTAGTTCACGAGAAAAGTCTATGTTCAGGAGTTGTCTATAATGAGAAGAAATGACGATAATGATGGCAATTTGGATGCAACAGTAATCATTGAGCCATCGCTTGTGGCGTCTTGGAGCGTGGCATCGGGGCATCGTGAAACCAAGGATACTCCACCGCCTTACTAAAAAAGGACGAAAGCACTGTTGGAACAATAGCTTCGTTGGACCTCCACGATTATCATGTTATACAAAATTGCATCCCTGAATTAAAAGTACAAAACATCTTTAATACGGTAAACACCGAAACCTACCTATATATATCTTTATTATCATTCCTTGGAATGTAGTAATTGCTTTGTGAGAAAGAAGTGAGTCTATGTTTCTTACAAAGTTTTGTAGTAGGAAAAATGTACCCTACTTATAAACTTTCAAAGAACTATACGCGTTAAAGGAAATATGTTGGTGAAAGAATGAGACTGTTTAAACATGTTTATTTTCTGTTGTTTTTTATTTCTCCACTAAAACTCAGAACGTTCTAGTTTTACAATTAAATTGAAAAGATAAATATTGGGCTCTTTAGCTCATTTTACACCTTTATCACATTTCATACCATAGATTTTACTTGTTTTAAGAATTTCAAAAGCGATTGTTTTCCTCTGTTTGCCTTCAAATTAGCAGACCATGTTTAAGCCTCGGCTTGTGCCAATATTTTTTTGTTCTTCAAAGTACATAAGATTACAGTGACTCGCAATCTGTTCCATTTGTTCAATTCATTTCTGACGGAATGTGGGTTCGAAAGTATCATTTTCTTTACCTCTGACTATGCGATAACGTAATTGCAATTTGCAGAAGCACTCTACATGTAAGTTTAAAGTTTACCTATTAAAAATTAAAATGGCATGGAATCGTCAGACTTTTCAATCCAAATAATATTCCATAACTTTTTAGCATAAAAAGCTACATTTTATGCTAAAAAGTTATGGAGTATTATATATATATTAAGACCATAAATAAGACCAATTAATCCCTTTTTTACAATTTGAAATAGCTGCTGTTTTTTTTAATTGATTATTTTTGTAGAAAAGTAATACTTACATTTACTATCTCAAACTCATAAGGCATTACGAGTATACAGCGTGTCGTTACCATCGCGACAATAAATGAACACGCATATAGGGGATAACTTTTTAAAGTTGTATTAAACATTTAAATTCTTTAAACATCAATATTTACAGAGTTATTAAATTTTCCAAAACAAAACAAATTTTAGAACACCCGTACCTATAAAAGCGTAACGTAAAGTTCATTTGTAAAGGTCACAAAGCATATGAATGGGTTGAATGAATTTAAAGGAGACAAAACATACTGTTAGAAGGAGAGGCTTGTAAAGCGACGCTGTGGCGATGTAGATGTAGATGTAGGATGTTACAAATTTTGTTTCTTTTTTACTTAATTACTTTGTTTGAAAATATTTTTTTAATTATGGATTTTGTTTAACGTTAATATTTTTTTATGATTATTGGCAAGTAGCGTTAGACGTGTGTTCATTTATTGTCGCGATGGTAAAGACACGCTGTATAGTATATACGTCATATCTTGTACAAAAAGGGACAGGGGCATGGCGTAATGAATGTATACAAAATATACAAAACATAACATGTTATTAATCACTATTCTTTTAAAAGCAAAATCACTATTCATCACTATTCTTATTCACTATTCTTATTCATTAATCACTATTCTTTTAAATTCTTCAGCGCATGCTGAAACAACTGTCAGCAGAATCAGTTCATCGTTAATATTCTTTTTTCAAATGTTTTATAATACACTATGTATTTATTGTTTATAGTACATATTACGTTGTATCAATGTATATATATATATATATATATATATATATATGTGTGTGTGTGTGTGTGTGTACATATTTATGTATGTTTATTTTTATGAATAATATTTTATTCTTCAACACGTAAATCAAAACTTCAAATAAATAAATAAATATGTTGGTCTTAAATTTTGCCATGAAAAAGGTTATCTCGATAAAATAGGAACATCGATTCCAAGAGAGTAATTCATCCATTGGATTTTAACCGAGCATATTTAAATAAAAAATCGTCGCTTAGAATCATAAGAACCGCGCTGACGTTATTGATCTTTAAGATGATAAATAGAATTCGACATTTGAGAATTGTCACGGTTCTCCTGGTTTGGTAAACACTTCAAGCGCCCGTTATTTAGTACTTAATATAAAATATCTAGACCGTAATATCAAAAATATTATTACGAAATTGTAATTTGAATACATGTCTCACATCGTTTTAATATCTAATAAACTCCTTAAACGGAACTCCCGTTTTACTGTAACTTAATATAACTTAGCTTGCGTGTGTTAAAACTTGTCATGTCATGTAAGACTTATTAGGGCGTTGAATGTTAAGTAGAGATTAGGGAAATTAGTGAAATGACATAATGGCCTTCGTGGTATTTATTTTCAAACCAAACATGTTATACGTTTTAGTGAATGTAATATACTGTATACTGACTTCGAAATATAAAAACCTAAATAAAATGTACTTTAAAAAAAAGTAGAAACCGACAAAAACTGACAATCCTTTCGTACCTTTTTTTCTGCCTTAGGTACAGAAGTTTAGTAACCTGGGGGCATTTCCGTAGTTCTATTAATTAATAGCGACCTCATTAACCCACATAAGCCACTGCGTCCGGTTGGATCTCTGTATCTTAAACAATAAAATGAATCCCTTAATGCATAACTGATTTATTACTTAGAAATTAAACAAGGAACACATACGTTTGCATTTGCACGTATGTAATTTTCTGAATGAGTTATAAATAGATGTAACTCATCTAATCGGGTAATCGAGTGTGACACTTTCTTTTAATCCATAATATTATTGTAACTTAAATATAAATAAAACTGCACTTAAACAAACTGCAATTATAATAACTGTATTTTTAAATCTTTAGGAGTTTAAAATAATCACTGCAGTAGGTAATATTTTGAAAACATAGTTCGAGTACAAATAATTAAATTACAATTAAAATAGCACAGGTTACTTGGTCCGTCTGAAACTTCGTACAGCTCTCAGCATACAACACGTGCGAGATAGAAAATGCTTTGTTGACAATAAGACTTAAGTAGACCGGTGGTTGTGGTAATAAAAATGGCGGAGAATTCCCCGCTCCAGGCGGCAGCGTGGCGCTCGAGTGGTGGGGTGGAGGGAGGGGGGGGGGGGGTCGCACAATGTCTCATGAGCCTGCTCCGTTCCGTCAGAGCCGTAAAGCGTGCACGGTATGGGCACTTACGAGACGTCCGAAGGCGCTCGCCGTCGATCCCGGGGACGAGCCCTTTAAGCCCGCCGGATAAACCCACGTAACAAAGTTATTATCAACTGAGCCCCCCACAATCGCGACGGCACCCATAAAATTAGCCGTGGCAGCCGCTTGTTTTGCGATCGCAGCAAAACGTCAGCGATTTCCATAATTCACGGGGCACCAATTAAGTGTCATCATTTGTGAACTGCCGGCCGCTCACTAATGGAATCGTTTTGTTAATGCTGAAATTTTGTAATACGCCGGAAAAGTGTTATGGTTTCTATTCGTTGAAATATAACCTATTGTTGATGCACCGTTTGCAACCGAAAGTTAATGTTAGGTACATTAAATGTGATTATTAAATTTAAAAAAATTAGAAGAGTCCAGCTCCCGGTAGTGGATTGTCGCGGGCTTGTGACATTAAGACTATGAAATTATTTTTCTTGATATAAAAAGCACATAAGCCTTTTATCTCTAGTTGTGAATATACACAAATAAAGTTAATAGTACAATCAAAAGACTTTTACGTTTGTAAAAAGGAACAAACAAAGGCTTCTTATTTCTTTTGGACCGTATTGAGATTGCTTCCAAAGTTTCCAATTTTAATATTTTTCATAATTTATATTGAATCAACATAAATATTATAATATTTATTTCATAACTCCTAAGAAGTCCGCAGTGATGTGAATTTGCATTGAAATACCGTCAGATGGAAAGCTAATTATTAAGGCACACAGCTATAAATAAGCATCCGAGAATGCCAACAATTATGACCCCTGCTTGTCCTATCGTAGTACACTACGTTTAGCGATATACACTTGCATAGGTCATACAATAATGGTTGCCACGGAGGTGTAAAAATAGGGATTGTGCGTGTCGCTAAAGGGCTATAAAATGGAGCTCGTAAAAGTTGGTAATTAGAAACAGAGTTATATTGTTTTTGTATTTGTCTAGGATTATGTTGAGTAAATATTTTTATGGGATAAGGAAAGCGAGCCGGTGGTTCACCTTATGTTTATTTTTTTTTATTTCTTTATTTTTAAGGGACTTTTGCGTAATATGCATGTCAGTCCCATCGTGCCCTCCTCTTATGTTATACAACTTTGACTTATTACTAATACTTAATTTAAAGTTTTAGCCATAAACTCATACAGTAGATTTGCATTTTCACTATTTGGATGGCATAACAAAGAATGAAAAAGGCCAACATTGTATTTGCTTAAATTCATATCTTTTAACAAGTTATTCCTATTGGACTCATTTCTAACACATTCCATCAACAGGTGATGAAGGTCTTGTTAAAATTTTTTTCTGGACACATTCCATGCAAATTTGTTACATGGAATGTGTCCAGATCTGAGTCTAAGACCTGTACATACTAGTTTCCTACACAAATTAGTATTTATGAACCACGGTACACGACAGGGCTGGCACTGAATTGTTTTATACGAGGGCGGGATGATAAGTAACTAGCCTAATAAGAAAACACTTAACTTTCCGTGATAAAATTAATTTTATTTTTCGACATACTCTACGTGAACCGCTACACACTTATTCCATCTTCGTTCTAAAGCAGTAATCGATCAGAATCAGCCTTCCAGAAAACGATTTCTTTCGAGGCCTGCAAAATACTCCTCTACGGCGGCTATGACTTCATCATTTGTGGCAAATTTCTGTCCGCCCAAAAAAGTATTGAGCTTAGGGAATAAGTGGAAGTCTGATGACGCTAGATCAGGCGAATAAGGTGGGTGAGGCAGCAAATCATACTTCAATTCGTTGATTTTTGCCATAGCTTTAACACATGTGTGAACCTGTGATTTTTTTTTTTTTCACCAAACCTGGTCGTTTTTGCTGAGTACATTGATGAAGCTTATCAAGAAGATTAGCGTAGTATTCACCATTAATTGTTTGACCTTTAGCAAGGTAATCTATCATCAAAATCCCATCTGCATCCCAAAAGACGGAACGCATCACTTTTCCAGCCGACTTTACAGCCATGGCTTTTTTTGGAGCCGGGCATCCCGATTGAGTCCACTGTTTTGATTGAATTTTTGATTCTGGCGTGTAATGATGAACCCATGTTTCATCTGTTGTTACAAATCGACGTAAAAAATCGGCCTTATTACTCTGAAAACGGTCCAGACATTCTTTTGAGTTTTGCACCCGAATCCTTTTTTGATCGTGCGTAAGCAATCGCGGCACCCAACGGGCCGATAACTTTTTCATATTTAATTCCTCCCTTAGGATATGATGTACCCGTTCTTTTGAGATACCTGTAGTGTCAGCTATTTTTTTTGAGATAACTTCAATCGTCGATCTGCTAAAACCATTCATTTCCGGAGTCGTAACGCTTTTTGGACGTCCGGGGCGGGCTTTATCTTGGACACATGTACGACCGCGTTTCAACTCAGCCACCCAGTTTTTTACTGTGGCATAAGAAAGAGCACATTCACCCAAAACATTATTTAACTCGTCATAGATATCTTTCGCCTTCATCCCCTTCATATGAAGAAACTTTATCACCGCTCTCTGTTCAATTTTATCCATTTTGAAAATAGTTGACGAAATATATTTTCAAATGACAAAAAAACAATAAAATTTTCACGCCACCTAATTCAAATTTAGAACACAGGTGGCCAGAGATACGAATTTAAAAATGACACATATATTTTTTTAATTTTAACTTTTTAAATAGCAATGGCTAGTTACTTATCATCCTGCCTACGTACCATATACCCTTATCTAAAGACCGTTTATCAAAATATTCCTTCCAAAGATCATATATTAATGATCTCCCCTTTTATGCCAGTGGGTTGTGTGATGTTGTACTGTTTGCTGACGATACATCGCTTATTTTTAAAGTTGCCCCAAACGTATTAAATTATGACGACGTGAATAGTGCACTTTCACATATCCTCCACTGGTTTACTATTAATAATATGGTATTAAATGCCAAAAAAACCAGATGTATTCTTTTTACCCTTCCCAGTAGTATAAGAAGGAAAAGTTTTAGTTTAATATTAAATAACGTACCCATTAATCCAGTTGAGTCTGCTGTATTTCTGGGAATTACAGTAGATTCAAAGCTCCAGTGGAGTCCCCATATATCATCTCTTGCCAATAGGCTGAGCTCCGCGGTTTTTGCGATTAGAAGGGTTAGGCAGCTAACAGACATCGACACTGCCAGACTTGTTTACATTAGTTATTTTCACAGCATCTTGTCGTACGGCATTTTGTTGTGGGGTAGTGCATCAGATATAAATTCTATATTTATTCTTCAAAAAAGAGCTGTCCCAGCAATCTACAATATCGGAGCCCGGAATTCACTCAGAGATCTTTTCAAAGAGGTTAATATACTCACTGTTGCTTCTCAATACATTTATTGTAATGTTTTGTATATACGTCATAAGCTTAATTATTACCTAAAGAATAGTGACAGACATAAAATAAACACTAGAAATAAGGACAAACTTACTACGCCATTGTTTTGTCTACAAAAAGTAAATAAGTCGTTCATGGGGCAAAGTGTGCGCATGTATAATAAAATCCCACAGTCGATATTAAGTCTGCCGCTTGACCAATTTAAATGTAAAATTAAAAATCAACTGATGATTAAAGCATATTATACCATTTCGGAATATCTCGACGACGCCAATGTGTGGAGTTAATACTGTTGATACTCACGTAGGCTAGAATAAGACTATAAGACTATTATACCTGTATATTATATTGTACCCTGATATTTTTGAAAAAGAGCAACTGTTGAGTTTCTTGCCGGTCTCTTCTCAACAGAAACCGCTTTCCGAACCGGTGGTACCTTACGAACCTATACACATAATCTTTGATGTAAAATTTGACGATTCATAAGAGCGCGCAAGCGTCTATTTGAATAAATATATTTTTGATTTTGATTTTGATTTTGATAGCAAACATTTTTGAATTTAGGTAAAAATTCTGTATAGTCTGGAATAAAATTGGGTTTATTTCCATACTTAACTGCAAACTTCGCTAGCTTGTCAGCCTTTTCGTTACCCCCTAAACCAGCGTGTGATGGAACCCATTGCAATCTCAGTTGGATACCCTTCAAACTCAACACATCTATCTTATGTAAAATTTCATAAGCTAATGATGCACCTCTGTGTCCAGTGGTGCATCGAGCTATATATTGCAAGGAATTCTTGCTGTCAGTGCATATTACAATATTTTTGTAATCATTGTTATTAATTACATAAGACAAAGCGACACCTTATGTTAAGTTATTGCCGCCACTTATGACGGTAAAGTTGATATTGCGTTGCCAACCTTGTAAAAAGGAGGGCGCCATTTTATCCACCAGACGAACTGCAAAATTATAGAATTTTACTTCACTTATGTGAGGGCGTGATACATTCCCTGAAGAACCTGCCCATTTTTGCAACAAAAGAGGATGGTGCGAGATCCTACGACATTTAAATATGTTGAATTTGTTCAATCATTACAAAGTTATTACTGTAATCGTGAGAAATAAATTTCGTTAAGTTTTACTTAACCTATACACATTTATATAACATAACATATTTACTTAATTTCACTTTTGTTAATTCGACTTCCAATATGACTATAAAAAACCTTGTTGCTTACGAACACAGCTTTCAGAAATACGCTCAATTTGAATCAGTCTAGAAGTCTCACAATAAAATAAAAAGCGCACGTATTTAACATTTAAATATTATTTTTTTGATGTTATTCCGCTTTTCACTTTACATTTTAATACATTAAATAGTGCATAAACTTCCTATTTTCTTATTACCTACAGAGCTCACAAGTGTTATCAAGCGTAGCATATAAAGGAATGTTATGTATAAAAAAATAATGCCAAATGTTTTTTAAAATCCCACTGGCTTGAGATGTTTCATGAGATGGAGGCTCGAAATCCCAAGGGTGTGCGTCCTCATTCATAACGCGTTTTCCATTTTACGGATTTCTTCCATGAAAAATCACAGCCTAAGATATAAATGTTAAATAAAACCTAGAGGTGTCTTCTCTATAAGGTTGTCGTATCGTCTTATCTATAAGGGCT